TGCGAGGTGTCGAGTGAGTATAAGGACCCCCCCGGCCTCGGATTATCTCGGATATGCCTGGATCGACGGATGATGCCGAATGCTCTTCCTCTTCACCCCCGCTCTACGTATTTCTCGTTCCTGTATTCCCCTGTAATATATATGTATAGTATTTTGCGTATACGTGTTGCCACGCACGTGTGCGCGTTGGCCGCTGGTCGGCGAGATTGGTTGGCCGCTCGATGGGTGGGTGGGATACGCTCGGTACGTCGATTGGTTTGTACGATGTTTATATGATTGTTGAGCTCCGCGACCCTGAGGTCGTTCGAGATATCTCGCTGTGCGTAATATGAATCAAAAGACGAAGGCTGATGAGATGGAGGAGGAAATAGAAAAAGAGGAGGAGAGGTAAAGTCGAGTAAAGACGAAGGATCGAACGGGTCGCCGTGATTGCGGAGCGGACCCGGGCCGGGCCGGGCGGCCACCAAACCAAACGCGAACGCGGACCGCTCGCTGGAACCACGCTCATCTCTGGAAGGTCGATAGCTCGCGAAAGGAGAGGTCGGCCAGAGAGATAGACTGCTAGTTCACGCGGATCTCCGCCAGGTTGCACGTCGATACCGCACGACGGACTCTGGCACGGATCGCCTTTTTTTCCTTTTTTTTCCCGCGAAGATGTATGTATGTACATGTGTACATACAACGCGATTGCTCGCGGTAGCACGTGCGCACGGAATGCAAACACTCTGTCACGACAAGCGAAAGTAATGCCGATTGTAGGACGATACTCTGGGAAAGAATGCAGATGCTTCTTTTACACGCGCGTAGTTTGTAAATTAAAATTGCTTAGATATGTCGAAATGATGGAAATGAATTAATCGAACTCGATAGATCCTTTGCCATAAATACTTATTCTAATTAGAACGACACAAAACATAGCAACTTTAGTTTTATACGATTCAAAGAAATGTTTCTTTACTATACGGTTAAAGAAAAAATTTCTTTCATTTGAACGTCATTTCTTTGATTTAAACATTATTTTTTGAAATTAAATAAAAAAATTATGTTTAAATTAAAGAAATTTTTTCTTTAACTGTATAGTAAAGAAACATTTCTTTGAGTTGAAGAAATTTTTTTCTGGGTGTGTATGCTTATAATTTTTGCATATATATTTGATTTTCTAACATTTCGTCACTAAACTAAAGAAGAGTTTAACGAGTGGCAGCTAAATTTTGGCAGAAAAGAAATATTGAGGATACGGTTTTCGAGTTTTCGGAGTAGGTAGTATCCGAGCGGAACAAAAAGTCATAATGACGTCAAAATGGCTCCAAAATGATTATTAAAAGGCACTTTTTTCAGTCGTTTTGACATTATCGTGACCTGTTGTTCTGCTTAAATAGTCATCATACGTTCATTACCGATCGCTCTTTCTGAGTCACGTAAAAACGTGATCATCGCTCTGTTCCAGCGGATGTAGCCAAGTCCAAATGGAAACACCTGCGCGACAACTTTCGAAACGAGCTGAAAAAAACCTACCGGGGTAAGTGCGACGGTATCGGCGGCACCGAGCACGACTCCAAGTGGGTCTGGTTCAAGAGCCTATTCTTCCTGCGGGACCAAATGAACTCAAGGGTGATCGGCTGCGCTTTGTCACAAAACTGCGTCGGGATGCGTTCCTCGCCGGATGGCACGCAGATCGAACCGCAGATCGACATTCTTGAGGGCCACGAGGAGACTCAGTTCGACGACTTGGACGGTGACTCTTGCCAGTCATTGCTATCCAACGATGACGGTCTACATCAGGTGATGCCGCCGCCAAAGATGAACAAGATAATCAGTCGGAAACGAGCGCTAATGGACGCGATCGAAAATGATTACGGCGTGGAAGTGGATCGAAAGCGATATGAATCACTGCAGAAGAGACTGGCGATCGGTCCGGAGGACGAGGACGACACCTATCACTTCCTCATGAGCGTACGAAATCCCCTGAGAAGCCTGTCGCTCGATAGGCAGATGTTTGTTCGTCTCAAGATCCAGGAGTTGGTCTACAACGAAATCAACTCGCAAAATCAACAGCAGCAGCAGACCGCAGGTCGTGGAATCTACGACGCTTCCTCACACGGCCAAGATGTGAAACCCCCGCGCGGTAACGGCGGCAATGGCGTCGTTGGCGGCGACGTCGTCAGCGACATGGCGAATCCGGCGTCGTTGCTACAGAACTGCACGCCCGAGGGCTCCGGCGACGATGCCTTCTTCGGCTGACGAGAGCCCGTTTGCTGTTTAATTCGCTAATAGAACGTAAGAATTATAATTTTAATAGAAAATAAACGATGGTATTTTTTCAGTAACCTTCGCACAATCTTTGCGCGATCTTTTTTCTTTCCACCCCACATTATGATATCCCATTTCCAATTCCTTTTAATACAGAAGTATACAGAAGTCTTCAATTTGAATCTCTAGTCGTACAGCGAAATTTTTTCGTCAATTTGAAAAATTCTCTCTCTCTTGCGATATTTTTTTTAATTTTATATTACTCATTATATTTTTTAACGTAATTATTAGCGTGTTATTGGAGTTTTTCTGACATTACTACATCTTAATTTTTATTATTCTCTTTAATGATTTACGGTTAAATAAAAACTAATAATATTCTATACATTCTTTAGATAAAAATAAATGCAAATTATTTTTTTTAATTATGACACAATTTGAGCTAAATATAATGTGTATAAATAACATTTATATATTTAGCGAATTTATAAGACTGGAGTGCCTTGAATGAACCCCACACGAGTAATGAAGGATTAGAAGCAATGTTCACGTTCAAATGTTAAGGGAAAGGAATTGTTTCTTAATAGATGCAAGTATTGCGTTTAATATCACGTTAAGATAATCAAAGGAAAGTTTTATAATTCACCATACCCGAAATACATCGAAATTTCCGCAAAACGAGTACGCAGGCATATTTGTAAAAGTGAATAAACATCACTCGACGTGTATATTTTCACGTCGCGAGAATGATACTTAAAATATCCTCAACCTTTGCCGTCGGCTGGGTAAGCTTTTTAATTAATGAAGCCCCAGCCGCCGGTACAATTAGTGTTATTAGCGCCGTGTGGCTCACCTATCTACGTCACAGATAGAAACCTAATTATATTCTGCCGTGATAATTGATTTCTCGGTTCGCGTATTGTCGCACTTTTTACTCTTCATGATTAAAAGACGGGTGTCAGAGCACCTTACGCTATATTGATACTGATCCAGCTCGACACACACAGTGATCAGACTACAAGAGAACGCAATGTGAGAGGATACGATGCTCTAATCGAGGGAAAGCAATCTGGGAGGGTGCGGAATTGACCAAATTTATCAATGTCGATATATATAATGTTCATTTACTCTTTATTTTTCCAAATGGTCGCGCGTGAGTATACAATGATATATCTAAATTGATTTATATACTCTAAATTACTAAACAAACTTTCTTACGCACTTAAATAATAGTAAATGTAAGACATTTTAATCTCTCAATTATAAGTTCAAGATTTTCGTTTCCAGCAATAACGAGAACAATCAATCTTATCGCAGAATTATACTTAATACTATTTTAATTTTTACATTATTAAATAGAATTATAATGTATTATTATAATTAATAAAATCATGAAATATGTAATACAGGCAATAGGAGTCGACGCTGGTTATCAATTAGCACAATTTTTCTCAATACTAAAAATGTAAACCTTAACTTTGAACGTTTCCACTCAGTATTATTATAAATTGGTATATTATTACACAGAATTATTGAATATTATATATTTTAAATCATTGTATTATTATATTATTAAACAGAATTATTTTATATTATTGTAAATTATTTTATGATTACAGAATAATTTTATGTTATTATGAATTATTTAATATCATTAAACTTTAAGATATTTGTGGCAGTCACAGTTTCAACTTGTTCATGTGTGAATTCAGTCTCACGTATATGTGTTAATGAGTCATAATTATAAGATATAATTTAATAAGTGATTCTCTCTCTCTCTCTCTCTCTCTCTCTCTCTCTCTCTCTCTCTCTCTCACTTTAGCACATATAAGGATATATTTATCAATGAAATGAATAAATAATACATTATGTAATATCCAGGGAACATGTTAACCTATTTAAGTCAGAGATTAGCTTTGTACACGTTGTGCGAGACTGGTCTTCCCTTTTCATGAATTCTAGCTGTTTCGACGAGTTTTTTGAAACCGACTAATGAGGTACGGAACATGAATAGAAGTATCACACCTGCGTCATTATGACACTTCTCGAGGATTGTAAAACCGCTAATAGCGTTGAAAAGACCATATTTCTCTCGCAAATCTCTCTACTTGCTAATTTAAATGCTTTTTTGCACGGATTTTTGAATAATTAAAATCGAAATTAACGTTTTTAAAACCTCAATATACGAATTATTTTCAACGTGCTTTCATAAAAATTATATTTTTTAATATTGAAATAAAGATATTCCGTCTTTTATGAAATGATAAACATATATGGCAAAATTATTATGGCCAGACTTTTTATATTTCGATAAGCAATTTATTTTAACAGATTGATCATGTTTTTTTTAAAATAATGTTGGTGAATAACGTCATACGTTTTAAAAATTAATGGTACCCTGTTCTTTATGATATATTTTTTCGCTACACTCGAGAGAGAACTGATGTGGGTAAAATATGAGGGCGTGTAGACCCGATTACTCCACCCTATGCGTTACAAGTGTAATAGAAAAACAGAGTTATTCTGCTCGGGCTGTGTTGATGGGTGGACATCGATCATTTAATGGTCACGAGTGCTGGGACAGCGTATATCAATCATATTTTCAAAAAAAACAACTCACTTTGTCACAACGATGATTAAGTTTAATAGGAGATAGCGTTATTTTATATATATACTGTACATATATATTACAATTTTTAAAAAATTTTAGTGAGAAACGATACAAACAAAAATGTGTAGTAGAAATTATGAAGAGGATATTTTTTAGATGCTCAAATTTTAGAAATTTTAGAAGAATAGAGGAGCTTAGAAATACCAAAAAATATATTTTAATGTCACGGATGTTTGATCACTTTCCACAACGTCTGATTAAGTCTGATATGATAACGTTGTTTTATATACATTAACTAAATTTAGTTAATATAAAATAACGTTATCCTGTGAAACTTCATCAACGTTGTGGCAAGTAGTAAAATATCCATAATGATAAAATATATTTATCGATATACCTATTATAAACTCTTCATTTTGTTTAAATTTCTAAAATTGTAGCATTTTAAAAAATATCCTTATAAAATTTTTAATAAATAATTTTTATTAGAAATTAATAAAACAGTACACCAAAATATATTATAGAGATTATTAAAGGGATATACTTTAGATATCAAATTTTAGAAATTTAAGAAAAATGAGATGTTTATTATCGAAAAATATATTTTATTGTTACGGAGGATTTATACTATTTCTCCAATTTTACGATCCTTTCTCTAAAAATCTCTCCCTGAGCTCACAGAGATTTTGTAACAAGCCGATACATCGTCATCGATTCAATTTACGTAAATTTCACAACTCGATTAACGGCGATACTTCATCGAATCGCGTTACGTACCAACGTTGCCAAGCTAATGGACAGTTATTATGTTGGACTACCGTCCGACCGGCGAATAATGGCCGATGGATATTGCTGCGGATGGGCGATATGGAAGCGCTAATTTTGTTGCCGCGTCGAGTCTATGCTGCGTCGAAATGCAAGGCGCATATGCGCTCCCTGATCGCTGACTGCGTATACGCACGCACGCATGCATTGTCCCCGTGTATCACGGCGTCTGTATCGGCAAAAGTCTTCTCGCCATGAAGCTATCGAGTGTGCTCCAATCCGACATTCATCACTTTTACTATTCTGGTATACCGAGTGGTTGATTAATCGTTGATCCCCGAAAAAATTTATGTTTGCGTTCCGCTCCGCGCGGATTTCGCCTTTTTTTTTACAAAAAACATTTTGACAAATGACACATGGAAAGAACGATTTTGCGAAAGTACCTAAAAATTTAGGTAAATGCAAATAATTGAAAATAATTTTTTTTATTCTAGATTTTAATCCTCTTCAGCAAGGAAGTGAAGTACAAACTACGACAAAAACTTAAGTATTTTTACTTTAATGAAATAATTATGTAGGAAACTCAAGCATAAAAAGAGCTATACTGCAAAAAGTTTCGATATTCCAGCAATCAGCTTGAACATCAACGTGACTATATTGATGATCTAACATTCTAACAAAATTGAATTTAGATCTACACGAGAACGATTTTGCTAAAGTATTTAAAATTTTAGCTAGATATAATAAATCTGAAAAAAAAATATATATATATATAATTTTGTTGGACCATCAAAATAATTATGTAAGAAATTCAAACATGATGAATAATGTCATAAAAAATTTTGATATTCTAGCAACTAGCTAGAGTGATCTACAAAATTATTTTAAATGGTCCAATAAAATATTATCAGATTTGTATCTAAAGTTTTTGATAAAAGGATTTTCTCGAGGCAGCGATTGAAAAATCAATCAATATTAATTTGATAACAATCGTAAATGTAACAATAAATTGACGGGCAATTGAGAGCTAGAAATAAGCGGAAAAGGTGCTGTAGGTGGCGGCAATCAATTTTTAGGCAACATTAATTTCGCAAGAAATTTCGCAAAAATCGAAAAATTTGGAATTGAAGAGGTTCTTAAATCTAAGAGAGCAATCGGAAGAGAGTGGCCCCTTCAATTCCAAATTTTTACTTAGATTGCTTAGATGCGAATAATGCTCACATCCATTGTTTGACATCGCTGATGATAGCTCGATTGAAGCCGATATGTCCGATATCGATTTTTGCGAAATTTCTTGCAATTAATTAATGTAAGATCTTTTTTAGAATATACTTTTGTCAATTATACGCATTTAATAACTGCGCTTATTTCTATCTTTCAATTGCCCGTCAATTTATTGTTACATTTACGATTGTTATTAAATATCTTGAGAGCTCAATTCAGTATTATATTTGAATATTAATTTAATTTTGACTTATGAACTAGGATAAAAAGATTCATTAAATTTTACGTAGAATGCGTCTAATTGTTTATCAACTAATAATTCATCATTGACACACTGGTCGAGAAAAATATGCTGTTTATTCATAAATTAAAGTCTGTATTACGGGCTGTCACTAACATAAGTGATTCATGTATATTTTTATT